CCAGTTTGAAGACCACCTGGACAGCTGTTGGAGATCGTCCTTTAGGATTTGATGGTCCTCAGGGCATCGAATCTCACGATAGAGGGTGCTGTCATCTGCGAAGAGACGCATTGTGGACTGGATGTTGTCTTGGATATCGTTGATATACAACAGGAAGAGGGTAGGGCCGATGACGGATCCCTGGGGGACTCCAGATGTTACATCCCTCCATGTTGATTTGGATCCATCAACTACGACTGCCTGCTGTCTATCAGTGAGGAGAGACATTATCCACTGGAGTGAGTCACCACTTATTCCATAGTACTGAAGTTTGGTTGACAGGAGAAGGTATCTGATTGATACATGTCTGTAAAAACCCAATTACTTATAAACGCGTCCTTAAAATAAGGATAGTCCGCATTTTTGTGGACATTTTTTTCCTTTGGTTTCGGGTTCGCTCCTGATCTGCGCGCTGGCATTCCTGGCAATGCAAAAGAGGGATTCTGCCTAATAAATACCCTCAGTTCACTATCTACTTTTAAATACTTTTGTCCGTCTTCCCATAGATTTATCACTCATAATGTGAAAGTCTCTGAAGTACAAAGTTAATGTGAAATGCATCAAATTCAATAAATTAAGTCGCGGAATCTGTTTTTCGCATTGCCAAAGCATGGATCGGAAATAAGAATTGATGATCGTTATTTTTGCGGACGAGTCTGTCCCATTTACGAAGACGATCCTCGTTTATGCAGACGATCCTTATTCTCGGACCAGCGCCCCTACTGTCTATACAAACAGTTTTTTTTATACATTTATAGCACGATATGACAACACAGATTTTAACAGGTGGGACTGGTTTCTAGTGTGACTATTTTTGAGAGGGAAAACACGAATAAAAGACTACATAATTGGAGAATTTAGGTGAAAAATTATTTGTAAATTATGTAAATGCCTGAATGTGAAACACGTTACCTCTTAAATAGCAATCTCAGCGGTGAAAACAGAGCAGGCACAACAGCTGTTTACGTTTTTGTCCACGAAGCCGCAAATGAAACTTAGACAACAGTCTGGATCGAAATAATTTGTTGCATTGCCAATCTAAAAATCTATATAACCCAGCAATGATCGCATCCAACGTAGGAAGCGGTGAACTTTATAAATATGGATCAAAGATAACATTGTAATTAAAATTCCTAAAACATACTTTAAAAATCAAACCAGATAAATTTATTACAAACACATTGAAATATTTCTAAATAATCTTATTTTGAACTGTTAATAACATTGACTACATTCATTGCAAGGGAAACATTGATCTGCAAAACGGCGTCAAGGATGACGGTATGGATTAGCTGGGGTGAGGGGGTAACAGTGTCAGTGAAACATATTTGGGGGCTGACGTCTCTCGCCTGAACAGCCTCCGAAATGAGCAAGAAATTTTTGGTTTTCATATAGAGATAATGTATAAAAACTATCCCGGATATTGGCAATTTCAAAAAGCAAAATTCCATCGACTCGAGCAGCGTGCAGGCCATTTAGATCAGCCCGCTTTTTCTCTCTCTCTTTTATCCCCCCTCCCCAATTAATAAACATGTAGTTGCATTATTGACTAGATGCATGCATGCGGGGGCAGCGGAGCGACTTTCAAAGTGGGGGAGGGGGGGGGACACCAACAAAAAAGGCACTTTCTGGAGAGAGAGAGAGAGAGAGAGAGAGAGAGAGAGAGAGAGGCACCTACAAAAGGAAATCTGAAAGCGAAAATAAACAATCTTATTATCTGGGATGCTTTCAATATTTGTTCCTATCTATACATCATACAAGACTTTGCTTAAGCATCATACTTTGCATTTAGGTGTGATAGGTGAGTAGGCGAAGCGATCGAGCAGGAAAAAAGAAAGATTCGTGAGGTCGCAGTGCGAACAATTTCATATTATGAGTTATGAAGAGGAAAAAACCCAATCCTGATGGGGTTATATATTATGTGCTTATTAAGCACATCCTCAAAACGGAAGTTTGAAAAGACTTTGGATAATTAAGTAACATGATTATATCATCTATACATGCGTTTGAGTGTAGCGAGCGAGCTTGGGGGATTGCTCTTAGTCGCTTTAAATAAGAGGCACGTTTAATGATGAGAGGAAAAGGGGAAAAGACACTTATCAGAAAAGAAAAGGAGCATGTGCCCGCCCCCCCCCCCCCACTCAGGTTTCAAAATGACCGCATGCGTGTTGCCAAAATGTCCTTTTCGTAACAAAAGAAAAAGGTCGAGCCGTATTGACTTTACACACCGGACTTTTGCTGAAAAGGGGGGGGGTGCTGAAAAAGGCTCGTATACAAAAGAAAAAGGTCGAGCCGTATTGACTTTACACACCGGACTTTTGCTGAAAAGGGGGGGGGGGGGTCGGTTGGAACACGCATATGCGTACCCTAAATAACACTGAGTGGGGGGGGGGGGGGGGGCCGGGAGCATGTGTCAAAGCACAAACAAAGGGTTATTGTCAGAGGTGAACATGGAGAACTTCTTATACCTGAATAGATCGAGGCACTCACCAGGGATGAAAAAGGTACTTATGAGCTAGTAAATGGGCATTTGTCGACGGAAATGGGGCACCAATCAGTTTTTGATAGGGGCAATTTATAAGAGGTGAAAAGGGCCATTTATTAAAAGGGTATAGGTACCTCATTAGAAAAGAAAAGGGGCACTTATTAGAAAGGAAAAGGAGCACATGTGAAAACAAAAGGTCAGGCGCGGATCCAGGATTTCTTAGAGGGGGGGTGGGGGGGGGGGGGTGTTCATTTATTTTATTTTTTTTGCTCCCGAAAATTTGAAAGTCGCGCCGGTGGAAAATGCGCTCAGTGGGGGGGGGGGGGTAGTGAGCACCTTTTTTTTTTGCTCCCGAAAATTCGCTCATGGGGGGGGGGGAGGAGTAACGAGCACTAATTTTATTATTTTTGGCCGGCGGGGGGGGGGGGGGGTACGTGCCCCCTGTGACCCTAGAACCGCCACTGAAGATACACTTATCGGAGTTAAAAAGGGGTAGTTATTACAAGGGGAAGGGGCACTTGTAACAAAAGAAAAAGGGACACTTGTCAAAGTAAAATGGGCACCTCTCAAATTTGAATTGGGTAATTATCAGAGATGAAGGAGGCACTTATCAATTGTGAAAAGGGGCACTTATCGTACCTGAAAAGGGGCACTTCCTACAGATTTAAAAGGGCACTTAATATGAGAATGGAAAACGGAAATTTATGTAGGAAAATGGGCACTTATCATAGGAGAAAAGCAATAGGGGCATTTTTCAAATTAAAACGTGCACTTTTCCTATGTAAAAAAGGGGTACTTCTTACGAAGTTATAGGGGCACCTTTTCTTTGAAAAGGGGGCACTTTAGGGTACTTGAAAGGGGGTACTGTGCCCCTTGCCCCCCCCCCCTCCCCGGGAGCTCCGCCTCTGCATGCATGTCAATACATATGTTGATTGAACCAGTCCTGTTGGATGTAAAGGCTTATTATAATTGCGTAGACTGAAAATGGGCATCACCAGTGGCGGATCCAGGGGGGGGGGGGGGCCGGGGGGGGGGGGGGCCGGGGGTCCCGCCCCCCCCCCCTTGAGAAAAAAAAATCATGTAAATTCATGTGATTTTTACCTTTTGAGGGGGGTGGGCCCCCCCCCCTGGCGCTCAAGGGGGGGGGGGGGTGCAAAGTGAAAAATTTTCGAGGACCAAAAAAAATAAAATTGCCCACTACCCCCCCCCCCCCATTATTATTAATATTATTATTGTCAATTATTATGATTGCAACACACACTAAGAATCACACTCAAACTAATTCTATTCTCTTGATTCGATTTATATTATAGGCCCTCGATCTAAAGAAAAGACCCTCTCGATCGAGTCATTTCATTTTGAAGAATAAAACAATTTGTTTAGACACTACATATAGACACCGAGTTTTTAAAATGTAAATAATGGAAAAGTTTTTCGCATCAGTACAGCCGATTTCGGGCTACCCCCCTCAATTTTTTGGCAAAAAAAAGAATACTCCTTACCACCCCCACCCAACCCCCCCCCCCCCCCCCCCCCCCCACTGAGCGAAATATCGGTCGGTGCGATTTTCACATTTGCGAGGGCAAAAAAAAAAAAGGTTCTTTCACTATCCCCCCCTTCCCCCCTCCCCCAACCCCTCTCTGAGCGAATTATCGGTCGGCGCGATTTCCAAATTTTCAAACACCCTCCATGACAAAATCCTGCGTACGCCAAAGTGTGACGTCATTAAAAAATATTTTTGGAATTTCTCAATTTTTTTCTTCTTTTTCCGAAAGAGCATAACAAATAATGTCCGAATGTCCAAACCAATTGAATATAGAAACTCTATATTACATAATATACTATAACATTACGAGCCAGAGCAATATAACACTGAGTTCCTATATATAGGACATTTATTCAGATGGTCATTTCTCAGACAATAATTAACATATTCAATTGTTTTTATGACATTCGGACATTATTCGATACTTAATACATATAGGCAATTAGTCTATATAAACTTTCAAAAAAAAAAATATCATAATTTCTCTTTCTCTTCATGCATTAAATTTTGAGAACCTGATTACTCCTCATCATCTCACAAAGCGGAGCTATTTGAAATATTTTGAAATTCACGCACCGGGAGCACCGGTAAATGTTGATTATTCAATTTCTCGAAAGCAGAAGTGTTTTAGGGGCTAAATTTTCTAGTGCTTTATACATCCACAGCTAGGGCATCCAAATATACCAACAATTTAAAGAATTACTATCCTGACCATCAAATTTTTAAAATTCCCAAAAGTAGATCTACTTTGCATTATACCTTTCATGGCTGAATTTACAGAGAGAATTGTTGGGAAAAAAAACAGGCTTTGGGCAGTGCTCAACCCCATCGCCACCGGCACCACCACCTTTACTCCCCCCCCCCCCCCCACCTCCCCGCCCTCCCCCACACCTCCCTATCTACCGCGCACTAATACTAGGCTTATATAGTCTATACGCTGATCGAGTGCACCGTATCGTACACTTCGCCAGGTAAACGCGTACCGTACGTCGTCGCTCAACGTTGCAACCGGGGAGTTCCCCGTCTGTCAAAGAACGAGTTACGTTGCTATGCACAAGCGTCCCATCGACTATTCCAGACTATGCCGGAAAGTGATGTCAACTCGTTCAATGATCGGCGGATCTAGGGCTAGATCTACACCAATTTGACACTCGAGAGTAGGTTTATCGTATTCCCAAGATCAACTGCCAGTTAGGTGGTTACTATTCGACTCAAACTTCAAAGACAAAGACAAAGACAAAGGCTAAGTTCAAAGATACAGAATGGACGACGAAGGTAATCACACATCACCATGATCACCGTTTACGGTTGATAAATTATAGGCTTAGCTACGTGCATTGTTATTTGTAATTTGTAATTGTATTTGCAGGAGTGTGTGTTAATAATATAGCGGCATCTACATCACCAGTACTGATCATGGTAAAGACAAGTGCCAATTATTTCATTTAGGGTGTATTTATGTCCAGATTTTGCATGACTTTAGTTTTGAGTGAAGAAGCACTGTTCAAGCAGTCAATAATCTACTTATAACTTGGTCTAGATCTTGATCATGATCTACCGGTATTCTAATTTCTTGTTTGAAGTTTGCAACTGTCAAATGAAGTGGTCATTATATTAACATGCATGGTCAAAAATCTGAAAATCATTTGCTGATCCAAAATGATTAACACCGAACAGTTAAATGCAAAGGATATGTAGATCTACACTGTATGAAATTTTGCCCCTGACTACACTGAATGCACACTGCACTGGCGTGCGTATACATAGACATTGATGCCAATCTCTCAACTGTCATCAGACATAAATTTGAGTGGAGGGGAATTAAAGTTTGGACCATATTTTCAAAAAATCACAAATTTCATCTGCATATTTATGCCTCATCTGGATCGTCTTGTGGCCTAAATATCAATATGCTTCTAATTGGAGGTTCTTTGAAACCATTTTGAAAATTTTGTTGGGGACCAATTTTTCCCTTCTCTATATATATGGTGCTATATGTGATGGATTATATATATTTTCTTATTGAATTGATACAGATGTACCCCCTTTAGAGGACATGAGTGAGCTGCTGAAGCAAGCCCAACAACTACAGGGAATAAAGGAGAGAAAGGGCTTGGCGGCATCATCATCATCATCATCATCATCATCAGCTTCATCATCGTCGCCATCGTCATCGCCCCACGGTCGTATAAAACCAGAGGATAAACCAAAGGTTCGAGTAACCCAGGGAGATACCAAGCAGGGAGACAAGAGCAAGGTACATGTAGGCATCTGGGTCATTCCATGGCATGGGTTTGGGCAATTTTTCGTGATATGTATTTAGTACCAGAAGTGACTAACTATTTTCCTTCAAATTGAGTTTAGCATAAAAAGCATGCATAGCCAACTATGTTTAGAAGCTCTTTAACTTCCATGGTGAATAAAGACCCAAAGTATGTGTACATGCATGTACTGTTTGTAAAAAAGAAACACTTGTTAAGCAAGATTTTGTAGAGAAGTAACTGAAATAGGAATGATTCATTGTTCAACAGATGATTTCATCTTCCATATGAAAATAAACAATGCCTTCCTGTTCTTCCCGTAATAATAATAATAATAATAATAATAATAATACTCAGTTTTTGATGAATTTTGTGGTGAAGTGGCATTTCATTCAGAGTCGAGATCACAGGAGGCATTATTCCCCTCCTTTTGAGGAGCCCCTAATAGCCCAATACTCTGTATGTTTGCTTCTTTATCTCACTCTTTCTTTCCACCTTTCTACATCAGACTCCTCCTACCAAGACCAACAAACCAGCTTCTCAAAAACCCAACTCGTTTGGGGGCCTCAAGAAAGGATTCCTATTTGGCTCTGCACCCAAGTCATCCTCTAAGGCATCTTCCCAAACTTCTGAACAGCGCCCTCTTAAAGGTAATACAAGGTTTTGGGAAATTTTGAAAAATGTCTGGATAGTGATTCTTTACAATCTTGATATATATATGGATGCCCCTGCTACCAGGAAAATCTCAGAATATGTAGTTGTGATATATAATTTCCAAACGGGAATAGCCAATAGGTCGATTTTAGTCAAGAAACATTCTTTTATAGCTAAATTAATATCTTGATCTTGAGAAGGAGTTATACAGTTTATTATTTACAATTCATCACTTTAAACTGCGACAATGATCATTGAATGTTGTAGGATTGCATATGCTTCCAATATGTTCATTTGAACCAAGTTCATGACCCCATACCAAAACTATGTATTACCTTTAAAGAGCCATCAACCAAAGGCCAGATTGCTGCATCAAGAGACAGACTTGAGGATATTCCGCTCATCAAACCTCAGGGAGATGGTGCACAGAATGGAGCGCAGAGGATCCAGGAGGTTCAGGATGCACTCAAGGCCAGTGCTCCTCTCCTCGAAAACAAAGGTGAATAAACGTCCGTTGCGAACCAGGGCCCGGTTTCATTAAACGCATTATTGAAAAGTGCCCAATCGTTAATGGCCAATCAAATATAGTTATGATTTCAGCGGGTTGTATCAATTATTGAAGCTTTTTATTAATACAAGTTTTATGAAACAGCAGGCCCTGAAGAATTTTAGCACTTGTTGAAGATTGATAAATTATGAACGATTACAGTCCCAAAATGGCTTGAGTTCTGTTGATTGCTACGTAAGTTTCAACATTACTTGCTTTAACTTCATTGTAATTGTAGTTTGAAATGAAATAAAAGAAGACAGAAAGTACATAGCACAGCTAAATTTCAATTTGGAAGTAGAAGAGAAAAAAGAAAGAAAAAGAAAAGACCTTACTAGAATTGCAAAGAGGGCTGAGTGTTCTAGATGTTTTCTATCTTACCTTTCAAATTGGGTTTGCAATAATACTCTTGTGCACCATTGAAACTGACAACATATTGAAAATGGACCGAATAGAGAAGAACGACATTACCCTGAATATCCAAGAGTCTGTCGCTTTTGAGTAGATTTAGTGGCGTTCACAAGAAATCTACTATATGATAGTGTTATGTTGAGTGTAGTATACCAGAGTATGATGCCTCCAACATACACAGCAAATAATTTTGATGGTCTACTGTAAACGCTGTTATTTTCGCATGATTAATTTTTTGCGCTGAGCATGACCACGAGACATATTCGCGATGCACGCAATTTAGCCCATTCAAAACACGCATAAGAAGTCATGCGTATATTTTTTGCGAGTTTTAAAATTTGCGCTTGCCGATCCATGAAAATTAATGTACTGCAAATATTTCTACTTTTACAGTTTTCTCTATCTCTTTCTCCTTACAGACTGGGTGAATGACGATCTCCTGTCAAAGTTAGAGAAGCACCCTCGCTTGGCCAGTCAGTTGTCGGATCCTCGGTTCAGTCAGGCCATGTCCATGTTCCAGTCTAACCCTCAGGGGGCCATGAAGTACTTCCAGGATAACCCAGAGATTCAGTCATTCTTTCAGGACTTCTGTGGAATTCTAGGTACATGTAGGTCTAGCTTGGGGGGGGGGGGGTGGTTCACAAAGACTTAGATTGACTTTAAGTTGGACTTAACCATGGCAGGCCGTTCATGCCACTGGTTGCTCTTACCATTATGATCTTTAGATAATATTTTTTCCTTCAATAGTGAATAATCAAAAAATGTTAATTCTGTAGATTTGTGACCATGATTTGTACATGTACGTCCCTCGATAAACCAATGCCAGTAAATGGTGAGAGCAAACAGTGGCATGAATGGCCTGCCATAGTTAAGTCCAACTTAAAGTCGATGTTAGTCTTTGTGTAAAATCCCTGTGGCATGGCTGGGTGTATATTAAATGAGAATTTGAATTCTTAAACATCCTACATGTGTATTCCAGGGCCCCGTCTTATAAAGAGGTGCAATTGATCCACATCGATTGCAAGTACTCCAATTGATCGCAAGTTACATGTATGTACATAGTTGTGATTGATATTAATCGCAACCTATTTGCGATGTATATCACCTCTTTTTATTAAAGACGGGGCCCAGAAATATTAGTAATACTTTATGTCAGATACACATATGCAGTAAACATGCCTTGCTTTATGGTTTGACATATGCTTTTGTGATAATTGCTCTACTCTTTATTCCGAACAGTATTAAGTTTCCCAACTATAATCCAGGACCCTAATACTATGCCGAAACTTAATATTAATCGCAAATTTGCATATAGACATAGATGATTTTTGAAAACTATGATATCTTTTATGTAAATAAATTAATTACAATTTCAGTAAGACAAGTCATTAATTAATGTCTGTGAAAAGCTGACTGCACACAAGAAAATTGAAAGTGACAACTACGTATGCTCCAATAAGAAGTCTTTCTGTGCATTGACAGTTTGTTATGACAACATATATGTTTTTCATGTACAAGACAACAGTTTTCAGAGTATGGTCCCAGTTGCAACTCGCTATATGTAATCCTACATGTATAGCTTTGAAATGGACCACAGAGGAAATACAGCTGGAGTGAGTCTTTCATCACCAATTTCACTCTTCCTTAACTTGAAGTCCACACTTTCTCCTGTGGCAACTACTGTTGAAAGAGCCTTTATGCATTAGCCTCTTTGTTTCATGGTCATGGTAATTTTAAATCTTAATTTTTCACTTTCACAGGGGACCATTTCTCCACCCTTAGTCCATCGTCAGCACTCCCACCTACGTCTACCGCCCCCAAGGTGAGTCCAGTTCAAGAGGTCAAAGTTCATGACAGTCCCGGTGCAGATATGGCCGTGTCCAGCAGTACTAACCCCAAGCAGGCAACGGCCACGGATGAAGCCAAGATGAAAGAAATCATGGCTGACCCGGATGTGGTCAAGGCCTTCGGTCATCCACAGACGCCGCTTCTGTTTGAGGCTCTGCAGACGAATCCAGATCTAGCTCAAAGGTATACATGCCTCATTTAGACTTATTCCTTCTCTGCTGTAAGCTTTATGAACACTTTCATCAATTTAATGTGAAGAGTCAGATTTGTATTTCAAATTCTTTATTTCATTGATCCGGTGTCTTCCTCAGGAAGCAAAATAAACAGTGGATGTAGTTCATGTTTAGTAAACTGTTTAGTAAAATATATATATTCCTGGGCTCGATTTACTTATTTAAGGAGGGACAATTTAAATATTTGCAGAGTCACCAATTTTTTTCTTCAGAATTACTGCATTTTCTTGTGATATAGAGAGTGCTGGGGTAATACAGTAGAAGCTATGTTCAGATATGCAGCAGAAAAACGCTGATTTTGTTTTCCTTAACGTAAGGTGCAATACATTTCACATTCCTATCTTATAACACAGAGATAAGTGTAAACACTAGGACTTTTGTTGCGTACAGTAGCCATTCATTTACATGTAAAAGAAAATGGGGCGTTATTTTGTGGCAGTTTACTTTGGCATACCTGAACTAGTCTTCAGGCTATCAAGCTTTTATTTTCAGGCAGCATATGACATGTTTTCTGCAGCATGTATGAATGGGACTTAGTTAGACATCAGCAGTAAATGCATGGACCATGTTTTCTTTGATTCCTTTGTGTCTTCTTTTCAGGATGATGCGCACTGCGGATGCAGAGTTCAGACAGCACGTACAAACGCTGGTCAAGAAAGGGCTTCTGGGCTTTGCCAGGTGACAAAACGTAGAGCTGAATGATGGAAGTTGGGTCGAATGTGAATGTGCCCTCCAACAAGCCCAACTGAGTGAAGCAATAAGTTTAGGGAGTGGGTGAGTCTTCCGAGTTTACATCTCTTCGACATGTTTATTAAACTGGCAGGTGTAGCTGCTTGAAATGCAACATGTTTGAGAATCTGAGGAAGATTGGAGGACTCGACACTAAAATATGCGCTTTGGGCTCCCAACATATACTGTGGACCTCCGCATTCGTGAAGATTCAACTGGGACACCATGCACTCAGATGCTAAAAACTTTTTTCTGTGAAAAATGTTATTATGAAGCTCTACATGTATGTTCTAGAGCTGTCTCATGATGAGGTTTGAGATACTGAATTCTGTAACTTTGGCTATTTATTTTGAAATCCAGTTATAATCTAGTCATATGGAGTGCTGTGACCAAAAGAATCATTGTATGTGGAAGTCCTTCCATACATTATATGCTCGTCCATTCCACTTACTTCTGACTGTAGTAAAACAATAAAGGAGTATGTTATATCAAACAATAGATATACTGTGTCACCACTGGGTAAATAAATGATTTATTCAGTAAAAACATCTGCAATATAATACAGTACAACACTTTAACAAGAGCAAATATAAATTAGGTCTGTTCCTAACATACAGATATACACAATGAGTACTTAAATACAGGTTTACAAACATGTATAGAACTAAATCAAATTTTCTATGTACAGACAATATTGAATTCTTTTAACTTGAGTTTGAGCCAAGATACATTCACAGAGAGTAGCATTAATATAATGATTAATATCCCAGATCTTGACTTTAATCAAGGAATGAAAATTCAAACTATGTATACACATGTATATTTGCCAGGCTAGATTTCAACCATTATCTTTTTGGGCCATTGTAGCCTTGAGTCAACAGTGAGATTTCTCTATTTACATGTACATGTACATAGTCTTTAAAAAACAAAAAGAGTTCTCTGTGAGTGGTCAAAGTTTTTGTTAAAACAAAATCTGTAATTTGTTGTAAACTGCCCTGAGACAGCACCAAACAAATTTATCTTCTAAATGACTACTGGGATGAAATGTGGGACACCCCAGTGGCCTGAATGTTTTCTATACTTCCATAAGCTACTGATATGTTTCAGATTTGTACATGCAAGAGCATAGTCCATGGGGGTGTTTGACAAAGCCTTTTTTTTTAATGACAAATGACAAAAATTAGTGACAAATCTGCTGATAACCAACCAGAAGCAAGGATAACAGTCTAGCTTATAACAAAAAAAAACTGTCATTTGTCACTGATGCCAAGTTTTGTGAAACGCCCCTTGGATTCTGTCCCGTTTTTACACACTTGTTATTCGTCAATCATCTTTGTACCCCTTTACACACATCCCACTGTCTCTGTTTCAGCATTGAGGGTGTGTAATTTTCTCAGCTGATTTGGCGCACGTCACATAAACAGTCAAGGCAGTGAATAGTACACCCCATGCCCTAATGTATATTCGTGAACAGTAATTTTGTAGTGCACAAATCCTTTGATTTATGATATACACTGTATGTGTACAACACTTCATGCAAGTAGAAAAAAAATGTTTATCCAACTTTGTACACTACAACATGATGAATAAATAAACAAAGATAGTTAATAAGTACTTGTAAATTTATCTTACACATAAACAAAATGGAATACAGATTAATGTATTTACACAACACCAAAATAGTACTCACTTTTCCACTGAATAATCTCAGTATCAGATTCTTACAAATTCTTTTCACACTATAATCTTCAACATTAGAATAAAAAGCTTGGTCCTAGAGAAGGTCTAGTTCTTGGTCCTACCAGAAGACTATTAATTGGTCCATTTAGGATATGGCTTGTTGCTGCAGTAACACATCAATACATTAGTTTAGTATAAGTATTTGATAAAAACAAGAAGAAAGAAAATTAATCCAAACCAGGCCATCCAGTTAATCAAGTAAAATGGATTTTATGCCTCTCCCTAAACTATTTGTTCTCTTTCTTTGACGATTAACAAGAATGTGATAATTCTTGTTTGTTTAAAAGTTCTAAATTGTTTATTTTTTCTTGATAACATATGTTTACTCTTTATTTGTAATGTTAGATTTTTATGAATCCATACATTTGTCTACTGACTTAAGTAAAATATGTTTGATGACTAGTCTCCCCTAATATATATTTTTTTCACCATTGATGATTTTCAAGAATGCGATCCTTCTTCTAGTCATCTTTTAAAAATAATTTTAGCAATTAATACATGTAAATTGTTTTTTTTCCTGATGATATTTTTTGTACTCTGTAATTTTAATGTTGGATTTTCCTACCAACCCCTTTTGCATCTTAATTTCATCTTTATTTATGTGTTTGAAAAAACTTTAAAATTGTGGCTGCTACCTTGCATTACAATGATTATACATGTTTTGTATTTCAGGATGCAAACGTCAGATCAATGGTACCTGTGTACAGTCATGTATATGATGTAATAAGATAAATTCTCTCCTGAAGTAGAACTCAGATGTTTTTATTTGTATTTATGGTAATAAACATGCCTGTCATCTGATTTATCCATTTGGTATAAAAGCTTTAAATTTTACTTTGCCTAAAGTTGTAGGACAACAGCTCCATGGTTACTAGGATCATTAAGAGCATTGTAAATTGTGTCCGTATTATTCACAGGGATCCCATTCGCTCTTTGATTTATCATAACATTTTATTTTATTTGCGAGTTCCATGGTGTCTTAATTAACAATTGCTATTCCAGTCATGTGTCCTTGTATTTTAAAGACTGATTAACCTGCCATCAAACATTAGGTGGTTGATGGTTTCAGTGAATAATCGTCACAAAATACTTTCATTAATTCAGAAATATTAGCACAAATTTTATGCTGAGAGAGAAGTAGTTCTTCATAGTAGTTGATAATCAATTGTTCAGTTTCATATGATAGCAATGGATCCACTTTAATTCTTTCTTGTTTATAGTTACACCTACCAATAAGGAATTGAAAATTGTATTTCAAAACTGAGCCAATACTGCCTTACTTTGTTGACAATTTTAGTATTAAAAATCTCTAATTACAATCTAAAGATGATTTTTGCTGTATGTTATATTCTTGAAGTTGTTTTTGTCTCTTATTAGCAGTGTTAATCCCAATAAAACAAGATTTCGTAGCAATATTATTTCCATTACAAATCAGTTTCATATACAACCCTGTATATATACAATTGTCACTGTTTGAAATAAAGAGTAAACATCAAAAGGGCTCACCAACTCACAAGATACTCAATAAATATTTCCATAAATATCTAACATAGAGATACAAGAATAATTAGATCAAATTATGAAAATACAAAATTCTTTCAAAAATAGGACTACCTCAAACAATTCAATATCATAATCAATCTGTACATATACATCACACAATATCTATATATTCACATGGTTAATGGATACAATGTTCACTTACATGTATGTACACTCGTACCTCTTCTTCTAGATATCTTGATCCTCCAATAGTTACTGTAGGCTTGTGTTTACTTGCAGAAACTCTGAGGCTTTAAAATGATCACTGCATTCTTGCCTTTTCCATTAACGAGAGTATCATTTATTGAATACTCTTTCACATAACTTGAAACAATATACATGTACATGTATATTTTAGTATTCCTAATGAAGGCTTGCTTCTAATTCCTTTCATTTTTTTCTCAACTGGACAACTATACAATTACCGAGGAAGTACATTATATTTTCTCTCTAACACAGTTTTTTTCCTCGTTCTGTACAGTGTAGGGTATCTATTATCCTCGTACAGTGTTTGTTATGTAGCAGATTTCAACTTCCATTTGTTTTTGTAAGTTCTCAAAGCCTCTCCTCTTTCTTTGTCTTTCTCCACTTGTAGCTTGATCAGTTTCTTCATGTTTTCCTTGTTAATTATCTTCATCATCATCTTGCTCATCCACTTGCTTATCCACTTCTCCCCCTCTCTGTCTCTTCCCATGGTGATGACCTTGAACATTCACTGATGAAATCATGAAGTCAAATATCGTTCATAGCTCTCTATTAAAAGCAACTTTCGAATCTTGATGCTAGAGGCCTCTATGCAAACATACATGTACAAATGTTATATACAGGAACCTGTAGATGAGTTTTGTCGAGGATTGAATGAATTGCCACCCTAAGGCTGTGCTTGATAACCTAGCCTCATGGGTGTTATGTTTATACAAAAAAAAACAGAAGCCAAAAGACAACTACACATGGGAGATCTTCACTCAACTTACAGTAACAATCTGTTTTCAAAACATTTTGTTGAGCAAAAGAAAAAAAAATGCCCTTGCTAGTTTCCAGGTCCCTTTGATAATAATGCTTCCTGCACCTCATTTACAGAGGGATAATACACATAACTTTAAAATTTCTATGCATTTAGTTATATACAAAGTACACATTTCTCATTCTTCTTGCATGCATAAGTTCAGCATTTTCAAAGATGTCAAGCAATCATTCGCTGGACTCTTCCTGTTTACCGGATTAACCAATTGAATGTCCCTTTGTCTTCGGCCTTTGAAATACCAGTTTTCTTGAGGCATTCAGTTCGATTCAAAATGAGCATTTCCACCAAGAAATGTCTCAATTCAACCATGCCTTAGTCATCATGCTTTAGTCTTCATGCCTCTTTTATGTTCCTGGTTTTTAATTGTCTGTTTCTGAAAGTTTTGCAACCCTTCTGACTTTTCCTTCACTTTCAACTTTCAAGTAATTTCCTGATTTCTTCTGAACACCAACCAAAGTCAACAATAGAAGCATTGCTACATCCAGTGGCTTTGAAAACCATTTAAAACTTCCTTTAGTCGCGTCCTAAATTGCATCACTCAAAATATCCTACAAGTAGAATAATGCTGTGCATCGTTGTTCAAGACTTCTGTGTTTTCCAATACTCTAGCCATACTTCCAGCTGCCCGTAGTTATTTTCCATCCAACGGATATTGGCCTTTGTGTTGTCAACGGCTTGTAGGAAGTTGCTGACGCCAGATAAGTTATCCAGGTCCTCTTTTTTGCTCGAAATAAATGTCTCCAGCTAGGAAAGATTCCAGAAAAGAAATAAAGTATTAACGATGGAAAAAACAACTACAGAAAATGGAATAGTTTGAGTGAAAAGTTACATGGATTTATAATTGATTCCAAATAGATGGTTATTGGACAAAATTTGAAAATATTGTTATACAAGACGTGTCGATATACGAATCTGCGTAGCGATAAAGTGCTAGCAAAATTGGTTTTGCAGATTACAGATTTTCACATTTTTTACAAACTAAATTCTAACATTCTTAACTAAGATGAGGTTGAAAGTGAAGTAGGGGCTGATGATAAGATGTAGTAATGAGAGAGCTCCTTTATGAGGAACTGTTGGATTTCAATATATCTCTTTTCCTCATACCTTTACCTCATACCTGTACCTTTGTATCTAATTAGCAATAGATACATACTGTCAAACCTGTCTTAGTGGCCATCTCTGTATAAAGGCCACCTATCTATAGTGGCCATGTATTTTTCTCCCTTCAGAAAGAAATGTGTTGTAGAACCTGTTTAGAAAGGCCACTGTCTACAGTAGCCACTTTTTCTGTTTCCCTTGGGTGGTCTTAATAGACAGGTTTGACTGTATATATTCAAGACTAAAATGAAAATACACGTATTTAAACCTTCATGAAGAATACTTGCAATATTAATGTGATTAATATCTACATTTCTTTGACTTTTCAGCATATCAAATCCTTTCTTTTATTCTTCGCTTGTTATGCTCTTTGTACTCATAAATAAACTTCCACTGTGAAATGAAACAAGGAACCACATTATTCTTTAAATACAATTCTCACCTCTTCAAGTTGGTATTGGGTATTAAACCATTCAGTCACAGCTGTAATAATGTCGCCCATTAGAAACAAACCAGATCCATATCTAGATGACATAGGAAGAAATTATAAATGTCAAATTAATACAAATGTTTCTGGTAGTAAACTTAAATCTTATCCTAATTTTATCTGGGGCATACAACTTTATTATTTTAGCTACATTTACCTTTCCAATGTCTGTTTCTATCACTTGATATCACAATTGATAGAAGGTGTTGGTTAGATTAATTACTTCCCCTTTTAGTATTTATAAGAACCTGAAATCCATTACATGTTATTGATTAATTAAAATGCAACAGTGATAAAGATGAGCATCATGATAATCATCATATGGTCTATCATCAGCATCATCCCCATAATCATCGTCAGCAACGATATTGTCATCATCACAATCATCATCATCCTCACAATTAACAGTCATCATCTATATCGTCATGATTCCTCTGTTATCAACGTCATTCGCATCATCAATCATCATCTTCACCACCATCAGAATCATCAGCATCATAATTCCAATCACCATCATCAACATCATCAGCGTCATCAACATCGCACTTCTCATCTTCAACATCATTTGAACATTATCATTATCATCATCAACAACATCATCACACAATTATCATCAGCAAACTCATCGTCATCATCAGCACTATCTTTACCATTATTACCACCATCCTCACCATCATCACCATCATCACTATCTTCATCATTGCCATCTTCATCATCATCTTCATCATAATCATAATACAATCACCGTTTTCATCATCACACATCTAGTCACAAGAGGAGAGTTTATTTCATTCTCATTAAACGACTGTCGAAAATAATTCTTCTGGGCAAGAATGTAGGCCCACATAAAAGTTTCTAAAGATCGTCCATACCTATCTTTCAACAAATCCCATTGGTCCCTGAAGAAGTTCCATGCCAAGTATCCTCCAATGGGGTTCCCTGACACATACTGGAATACGCTAACCGTATCTGTCAGAGAAAGTTGCTCAGGATCAAGAGTACGGGATAAAAGCCTGGGTGAATAACAGTCAATAATATGGCATTAAAAGACATTCTTTAATAATTCATAGGATTGGTAAAGAGTGGACGTTACAATTTATGTATTTTTCGCGCGACGAAAAGATGACCCCGCTCATGTCATGAATATTCACTAGCCAAAAAGCCAATCACAGAACCTGTCTCATTAAAATGCTTCTGTGTAGAAAATGAATTGGAAAATGTGGGTCAGATTGAAATGATTTATGTGGGTCAGATAGAAGTGGTACAGTAAATGGAAACACATTAATTCATCAAAGATAAGATAAAGGTTTATTGTCAGGATTGGCATTGGCTTTTGAGTAAGGCATAGTGTTTGGTTCAGGGGTAAAGTTGGGGATTCTGTTAAGCCCCAGTCCCATATAAAGCCGGACCAGCACGGACGAGCACGGACCACTCCGGACCATCCCGGACCATGGTCTGGGGTGATCCGGGATGGTCCGGGATGTTTTGTTCAAAAAAAGTGTGATGCTTTTAAGCTACAGTCCCATATATGTCCCGGACCGTCCCGGACCATCCCGGACCCCATCCGGGGTGATCCGGGATTCGGTCCGTGTTGACACCGTGTTGGCACCGGGGTGGTCCTGGATGGTCCTGGGTGGTCCTGGATGGTCCTGGATGGTCCTGGGCGGTCAATAACTCACTCCCGGACTGCCACGGATCAACACGGACCGCCCCGGCGCCACTACGGATGACCCCGGACCCAGCACGGTGGCTACACGGATCACCCCGGATCAAACTATTGTCCCGGACCGTCCCGGACCACCCCGGCAGTTTTTGACCGTCAAAAACATCCGGGGTCGACTCCCGGACCGCCCAGGACCATCCAGGACCATCCAGGACCATCCAGGACCACCCCGGTGCCAACACGGTGTCAACACGGACCGAATCCCGGATCACCCCGGATGGGGTCCGGGATGGTCCGGGACGGTCCGGGACGTATATGGGACTGTAGCTTTAGCATATTTCCTGTCGGATATTGATAGTGGAGGAATTATGGCCCGAGCGTACGTGGTAGAACCCACCTGTTGATCAACCATGGTTCCCCTGTGGCCGTGAGCGCCGCCAACCAGTGTTTCGCTTCGCCTGGTGAGCTTTGCTTGTAGGAATCCCAGGTCGATTCCCATACGTCTGCTCCCCCAGAGGCTACCCGTGTGCTGTAGGCGAAGCTCCGGTAATCTGGTGGAATCCTAAAAGGGGGAAATGTATACATGTATACAGGGGTGGATTAAGGATTTATTTCAAAGGTGGAGGGGTGAGGCGCTAATTTACTCAATACATATCTGGTAAGAAGAGAAAGGATTTCATATGTTAGATGGTTTTTAGGGGTTTAAAACTGAAAGAGAGAAGAAAAAAGCACAATATGGGGGTACAGGATTTTGTTGTTTATTTTAACGAAAGCTATCACAGATGAGGTTAAAGGGCACAACTGACACGTGCCTCCATGATGTATAGGGTGGAGATTGTGGTGGTGATGGATTGAGGGCGGAAGAATGAAATGTTGAGAGAGTTCAAAAGAAGGATTGAATTTCTTCATCGCAGGTGAAGAGAATCTTTTGCAATTGCAAAGTTGAAAGGATCTTAGTATTATGCCGTTTCTTTTTCTGACATTGATTGGCACTGCTTATAAAAAGTTTAATTTTAATATTGGTATTACTTACGCGTGGCCGTTTGAAAAGTTTTGAAACAATTCTTTGGTTTTTGCAATGCAGCTTTCGTGTCCATATGCACACATTTGTTGGAGAATCACCACACGTAATAACCTGTTTAGAAGATATATATGTAAAAATACAAATAATAATAAGCAAAATGTTATTATCTTATGGAAATAATCTTCAAAATTTGAAAGTTATTTTGAATTGATACACATATTTCTGATACATCAATATCTTTGAAGTCATTTCTTTCGATCAATTGATTCCGTCTTCATTGGTCGATTCACTTCCCTCTTTATGACTGTACACTCATTATAATTAAAACAAATCTCATCACTCTAAAATTGAACATACCATTAAACAGTTTTCCTCCAGAGACTTATTTCCCGCAGTCAACTTCCAAAACCAACGAAATTAATTCCCTTTTACCTTGAAGCAAACATAATTATTTTTTGTCACGTAATATAATGGTATCACAGAAGTTTTACCTTTCAAACTCACTGGTTTTAGTCAATTCATTACGTTCAGACCTGTTTTTATAATTTACTTACTTTTCTTGATGCGGCCCAGTGTTGTTCCATCCCACGTATTCATATACAGTTCTAGCCTGATGCAGAATGTACTCCTGTAAATAAACAATACAAATGTAAAAATTGTTTTGTTTGTTTTACTTCTGGCCTTTCTAGCAATATAACCAACGGTGCTATTGACCTCTTTCATAACTACATTCATCCTGATTTTGACCTGGCACTTCAAACGTGAAGTAGATCGAAATTTTTCAGAGCTCATTGATATATATTTTATAAACTAAAAATAATGACACATTAGTTTTAACATTCGAGGCCGCAAGATGGAAATTCATTTCAAAATTTCATCTAATGAAGATATGAACATGTCGATTAATTTTTAAGGAATGTGACATTCCGAATTACACCGCTCTCTTTGGTTACTGGTTGCTTTGAGATCTACCTGAACATTTTTTATGTCCCAGTGGACATTCCAGAGAGGGTATGGTAAGTTTTGTACGTATAAGCCCTTGCTGTCGTTGTTGTTCTTGACTTAAAAACAGCCTATTTGGTGAAAGCAAGTTTTTCCTTAGCTTTAAATTTAAAAAAAAATAATAATAATAATACAAAACGAATCATAAAAGGCAGTAGATCTAGTAGCATTGTGCTCTTTATATTTTTGTTAAAAAAGAAACTGATCAAACTATCAGTGTGAAATCAAGGAACTAGAAATTAAAATTAAAATCAAGACAGAAGAAGAAGAGATCTATACTCGGGCATTGGCCAGCTAGCTCTCTTCAGCTTTCATCATCAAGAAGGTACGAAAATGAAAACAAACCTTGAAGATACCGTACACGGGTGTCGTTCTCAGCATGCGATCAATGTACTCGAATGTGACTATTGCACCTTTCCAAGGGACGTAGTCAGTCTCGTGCTCCAGGTATCTGGTGAGGTCGAGAGCGACGGAGAGGTTGAGACGGCCTTCGGTGGCGAAACTGAACACGTCGTCAATCAGTGCGGCGCGACTGGCAGGTGAGATGATCTATAACGGGGAGAAGATTAGGACAAATAGGAAATATCGGATCCTTACCATGGTATCAACTTTCCTGCTTTTTTTCTTGAATAGATACTTCAAAAGAAAATGCCAAAATACTATTTTAGTTGAAAGAGACCTTTCCCAAAGTTTGAAAATGTTATTGTTAAAGATCTATATTTTTTCTCTTGTGGAATGATGGTTAACTGCTATAATTTCTATATAATCACTAAATGAGAATGAACGATAGTGAAATAATACTGTTCCCCCAGATTAACTTTCACTCCTAACACTAACAGAGACATAGGACCTACTAGGACTTGGAAATAGGATACAAATAAACGTTTAAAATCACTTACCGTGTGATCTTCCATAAGTTGTCGGGATAGAAGGCGCCAGTTGTGGGTGTTGTAATTGGTCCGATAGAAACCGGTCCTGTTGACATTCACCAGTATCCACTGGTCGTTTTGGACATTTGGGATTGCAAATGCTCCTTGAATAATGGTAAGGACAATGTTAAGAGGTAATTGTACTGTTAGAAGATTCAACAGTTGACTTTTAATCAGATGTCTCTAGAACAATTGTCGCATCCCATCATGTTCTGTAGCGAAACAGGGATATGGCAACAAGCTTTTTCAAGTGTTTACATATCAAGTTGAGGTGAAATATCAGCTAATGAACTTTCTATTTTCTCGACATTTCTATTGCTAGACATTTAAAGCTTACTACAGAACAACAGATACTTGGCCTACAGTGAGTAGGGTACAACCAACATAGAAATGGTGTTAATCGTTTCATCTCCAACAAAAAGAATGTGTCATAAATAAAGAAGAGGATTAAAGTTTAAATAATTTTAAAAATTGCATCATGTCCTCATAATCAAGTTAAGCATAATACAAATCAAGAGGAAGCTATGTGATTATCTAAACATTATCATTATGTTGTTGTACTTTGTTTTATCAGCTAGAGCACTTAGCAATACTCTATCAACAAACTAATAGAATCGACAACTCAAACAAAAACCACTTTCACACTGTTCATGTCAAAAAGAAGGGATATCATTCGAAACTCTATTTGATTTAAATACGGTGCCAGGAGTGGGATAACCGGAATGAAATACCAACCTGATCTAGTGTTTAGCCAGTACGTGTATGGTGAAACGATATCATTACTCGCAGCAGATGAAAACGTCACTGGAATAGGCCAAATATATCTATAAAAACAAAACATAAGTTACATGAGGTATCTATTTTATTGTTACCTCACTCGATTTTATGTAGATATCATCAACATCGTAAGCAAAGTTCAAAGGTTTGGTAGGATTTAATTTATGACCCATTCATATCCTCCGTCAAACTTTTCCATTGCCGAAATAATAAATGTAGTTTGATAGCTTGCCTAGTACATTTTGATAATGATATTCCATTTGCATCACAAGAGAGAGTCAATCTATACGCTTTTTTAGAAACTGAAATAGAAACAGACACGGACAAACAAAAATGATGTTCGGACAAAAGACTCCAGTCCCTACCCCCGGGAAGTTTGTGCCCGTATGCTTAAATAGAACGACTATTTTATGTCTATTATTGGCGAAAACAACTACGTGTGGAAAGTTTCATTGTAAGTAATAATAACTACTGCTGTTAACTAAACATACTACAAGTATACAACTTTTAAAAAAGCCGAGATTATGTAGGGTCTTTCGCTATTGTATAGTATAGGTACAACTTAAACATAATGAAACACTTGATAGCAGTTTTTGTTGAGTACACGTTTGGACTAAATAACCATTCATAAGAACTGCCTTACTTGTACTGGGATTCATCCACTTCCGCCTTGCCCTTGTCCAACAGGAAGTGCTCCTGATGAAGACATACCATGTCCTGCCCACAGTCACGTGACACCGTCACTACGGGATAGCCCATCTGACCTAACCATGGGGCCATCAGATCGCTGATGTCCCGGTACTGTCCGTGAGCCTGAGTCACCTGGATAATGACGAAGGTACATTTTAAGCGTTACCGTATAAGGTTTTTTAAGCTTCTATCGTGATATATTCACTCTTTGTAGAAGGGCTGGTGTAACCCATGCTTGGCTGTCATCGGTGCTTGATTGAGTACTGCGCACTCACTGAAAAGATCCCATAATGCTGGGAGCTATTTTTTAAAAGTGATTTCGTGTGGATGCGTTGCCTCAAAGAATGGTGCCACCATTTTTGTTTATCGTTAAAGAATTTGGAATCCAACTTCTTCCCCTTAAGTGATTAACTTACGCCTTTCGAATCACTCTTAGGTCCTAAACACGTGACTGCTCCAAGTTCTCTAAATTAAACCTACCCCTTAATATTACCAAGAAAATAAAAATAAATGAAGGGTCGAAATGTAAAACACCCCTATTTATACCATTCTAAGGACAGAGGGAACCCCGTATTAAAACCTTCCTTTCTACGGTATTTGGAGGAGGTTTGGTAAAGGTCTTAAAATCATGTACATGTTTTTTGTTGGATGAATGACATGCAAAGAACAAACTGTCGAGTCGGATGATGCGGAAAGAAGTGCAATTATCTTTTTATGATATCTTTCCCCTCTCTGTATTTCCACGTAGCCCCCTGTAAGCTACGCCGTTGTCAAATATTGTTACGTTTTATCGTTAGTTTATACAGTTGCGTATTTATGCCTAAATTTCCTCCTTTATACATTCATTTCGGGATTGAGTTGGAATTGCCAATATTCGCTGAATTGACTTTCGAGTATCTATCGCACAGATCTTTGCCTGCAACAACTAGGGACCTTATAAAATGCATTAGTAAAATTCCCTTACCGATTGCCCTGCGAATGTTTAAATTTGACGGCTTTATAAAGACGAAATGGATGTCGAGCAGACTTTCTCTTTCTTTCATTCTCTCACTCTCTCACTTCTCCTTCAACCTTTATTCTATCTTTTCTTGAAAAGTTTTGAATTATCTGCTATTGTCAATAAAGCAGAGACAAGATCTTAAATATATTACGTTAATAATTCTTAACTTTCCTACAGACATTGATTTTAGTGATAATATCTTTTCAATTGTCGTTGATACGGCTCACTTCTTCTCAGAGCCTGTGTATTTGCAAACTTTTTATCAGGCTGTATGTGGATAAAAGGAAGGGGGATCCACAGGACATTAATACTTACCGATGTAATCGCTCGCCAAATATCCCATGCATCTGCGTTGCCATACTGTTTGTTGCGAAGAAATACCTAGAAGTTAAGACGGAAAAGTTTTAATTCATGATCATAATAACGAGAAGGGAAGGAATAAATGATACCATTAGATTTATTAGATCCGTAGCTAATTTAAAGCCGTCGAATTTCACTTTGAAATAACCCTTTTAACTTAAAACAAACGAGGTCAGGGTTTTTCTTCTTATATTCAACGATTAAAAACAATTATCAATATTTCAACTATGGGATGTGAGGAAAATTAAATTTGAATGCTTTATTGTTTCATATTTTGTCAGTTTATCCTCTTCTCGTTCTAGCTTGCAACGGATTGACAACCATGAATGCAGTCAAACGCTTTCGAAAAGTAGTTTCAAATTTACTACTACCCATAAACTGATATAGGTACTGGTGAAATAATGAGATTTAAAAAGAGTAAAAGGGTAGTTCAACTTACCTCTAAGCCCTCCTTAAAGGTTTCGTATCTAATGCTGTGTTCAAGCATACGGAGAATAGCAGGGCTCTGAAATGAAAATATAGATTATTTCGTAATAATTCTACGTTTAAGAACATTGTAGTCTTCCACACGATGATGTTTTCCTTGTTGAGTATCTGTCTTTTTAATATATCATAGTGGGTAACTGTCTCTTCATGACTGTGATATACTGATTCTGTGATGATTGATTGATTGTAGCTGATGATTCGGTACTTAGCTATCGAGTTTGAATGTAAGATGTCAACTTGGACCAAAGTCAGACAATTAGATTATAAGGTGGCGAAAGGGATTCGGGTACAGTCTGGACTCAGACTCAGACTTTGAAGGTATTGACTTGGAGTCAGACTCAGACTTAAGAGGTATTTTTTTCGTATCCAGACACCTACCCCTGGACATTCAACCCCTGGATAACCACCCCTAGGACAACTACCCTCTAAGACGACTACCTCCGGACAACTACCCCAGGAAACTACCCCCTAGGACAACTACCCCCGGACAACTACCCCCAGACAACTACCCCAGACAATTACCCCCGGACAACTACCACCCGGCCAACTGCCCCCTAGGATAGTTGTCCCGGGTGGTAATTGTCCTAGAGGGTGGTTGCCCTAGGGGTAGTTGTCCTAAGGGGGAGTTGACTGGGGGTGGTTATCTGGGGGTACATGTCCGGGGGGGGGGGTAGATGTCCTAGAACCATTTTCTTTTACTTGAATTCGGATTCAGTCTTAAGAGGTAGTGTCTTGGACGCAGTCTTGGCCGTGGACGTTCTGGACTCGACTACAACATTGCTTTGTACACATACCTTCTGGTAACTGATCATGTCAAAGTTGTCCATGATGTCACCCACCCTGGTGACCGGCTGCTGGATAGGGTGTGACGTCACTAAGGAATCCAGCTTCATCACCATCTGTAATTCCTTTACCACGAACTGCTCATCCCACTTTACGAACATGATACAAAGAGGATTGTTTATTTATAAACAGATTTTGATTTTTGTTAAATAAAAAAACGACATGACCGTGTTTTTAATTATTTAAAGTTTAATCCACTTTAATAGGCAATAGTATTCTTAATGCTAAATATATTACTCATTGCGGATGTAGTATCGGAAATAATATCGCTAGTGAAATTCGTTTGTCTCGCAATGTGGTCAATAAGGAATCTAAAAGATCACGACGTTTCGTGCGCTATCTGCAACACTTCGTCAGGTGATAAAAACTAATGTAAGCAAGGTCTTGTTTTGAAACTTTGAAACGATATTTTATGCTAAATACTCTATTCTGAAATTTGTACAGACTTCTTTAACGGAAGTTTTATCAAAATCAAATGAAAAATTAGAACTTTATGGACATTTTCCTTGATGTTCCAATGAGTTATTACACCAATGGTGATTTTGCACATATTCCATGAGGATTCAAGCCGTATTGACAGGCAAAGGGTTAACACGATCCAGGGAAACGTTAATGGTTAGGTATTAATAAAAAATTGGAAGAAAAGGGAAATTTCCCAACTTACCATGGCCCAGTCTGGGAAGAGGTGTTCGAGGGCAATCTTTCCCATGACTGTAGCGAAGCATTCCTTCAGCCAGAGCTCGTCCCAGTACACCTGCGTTACCAGGTTGCTATACCACTGTCAAAAGTACCACACAAAAAAGAAGGAATATTTACTTAAAGCCCCACTGCACTACTTATAGCTACTTGCGCCCTCTATAATAACAAACAATGCCTAATCGGTGACCATTGGTCCCCCATGATCCTCTTTTTCTTCTGTTTATTGAGAGCTTATTTGATGAGATAACTACCTGTCAGTGACCATGCAGGGAGGTCTGATCCCTCCTGGCCAAACTTGTGCGATGGGGCTTTAAAAATACTACTTTCTACATGTTCATTATCTCTTATAGACAATTTTTTGTTTGCTTGTTTTACCTGACTGCTAAGAAAGCATGCGTACGCTCGTAAGTAAGCAACCAGGGGACCGACGGCTTTAAGCTATCTTTCAGGGACTCGGTCAATGAGGATTAATGCCTTGAAAAAGTTAACTAGCGCATCGACTTGGTTACGCATCCGGGACCTTCCGGTTACGACACCACTATTCTACTACTGAGCCATCGCACCTCCCAAATTTGATAGGCTATATGATAACGACAGTTCTGAAAAAGTCCATATACCAGCTGCTCGTTCTCAGACGTTCGATTGTTGTTCAGTATTAAAAAAGAAAACCCTGAAAGATTAGGCAGCGTCATAAATGTGACTGCCTAAGGAACCCTGAAATGTTTTTTGATAGAAAATGTGTTCTATGTGTGTATTGAATAGGCCCTACTTATTGTGGGCTTTTTAAAATTAAAAATACTTACATTTTAAATAAAACTAAATCAGCAATTCGAGACAAAATCAGCGGATCAATCAATTATCATACGAGTTACGGACAGATCTAGTATTGTCAAAAATGGTAAGAACGCCCCCCTCAAAAACACCACAGGAGAATGAATTTGCAATATTCCTCCAGCCCCCCAGCTTTGCTGTTAAAATGTTACTTTAAATGGAGAGGGGAAGGAGGGGAAGGAGGGGAAGGGATGACCTCTTTAGGCAACCTCTGATGCTATCTATTTCCCTGTAGGAAATAAGCCCGTGTCTCAAACACTGTGTTACTGGTGTTTAAACTGTTCTAGGCCAATTACCCCCTGGGCAATCACCCCCTTACTTTAATACCCCACCGGAAAACTACACCGAAGTACAATATACCCCGGAAAAAATTAGCCCCCGGAGATATCCCCCCCCCCCGTGGATAATTACCCCTCGACAAAACTTTTTTTTTTTACACCAACCTTTATCAGGCTGGACTTCCCCTTTTACGAAAAGCGAGGGGGGGGGGGGGGGGGTAATTGTCCTCGGGTGTGGTGGTCCTTTGTTGTCCTGTGGGGCGGGGGGGGGGGGTGGGTAATGTCCTATGGAGTATTTTCAGGGGTGGGGGAATTGTCCTCGGGGAGGGAGGAGGTAATTGTCCTCGAGGGTAGTTTTCCGGGGCGGTAATGGTACTCGGGGTACAATTTTCTGGGGGGTTATTGTCCTCGGGGTAGGGGGGGGGGGTGGATAGTTTTCCGGGAAATAATTTTCCGGGGATGATTGCTTAGGGGGTTATTTGTCCTGATGCGTGTTTAAACAAATTTCACACCGATTTCCTACCAATTTTACCCTGTGTAACACTGCTCATTCCGGTGGGATTTACAAAACACAACTACCACACACAAAAACACACCACAGATAAACCACTGTAGAGGAAATGCCAATCAATACATCATTAGATTTATCGATCACTACATGGCTTCTTCATAATTATCATGTAGCCACAGTTTTACTAGCTGCTGCCTAGCACAGGGGATGCATAGCTTTTCTGTGCGTGAAATTTTTAATTTTTGAACATGGTATGAAACATCGATTAGCATTCTACGTAACCGGAATCGGTACGAAATATTAATAACAGAGACTCCGTACTGAAATTCACTTCCTATATATCGAGATCATGAATTACTCTTGGTTTGTTTACTGGTTTATATTTGCGGCTCGCAAAAGAGTTTCAATAATCAACTTTTAGTCTTTACGTCTACACATCCATCCATTTCCAGCCTAACCGCTCACGAAGGCGGTCTCCTATGTTCTGAAATGTATCTCTTTAGTTCAATGAAAAATATATACAAATATCTTTTATACTTGTGTGTATGCTTTGTATTATGGTTATTGTATAATATTATTAGACATGATATGCTATGTATGTAATACTTATGTAAAAATGTATAACCTTGTATTTGTTATTTGAACGCAGAAATAAAACTAATCAAACAAAAAAACAAACATCACGTTATCTGCCGATCAACGTCAGTTTTCCTCACGGATTACATAAGGTCCAGATCGTTTCCCCACCACGAGAGTTCAAGAAATTAGCAGAGCTCATGCATCCTACCTGATGACCGAGTTCATGGGCGATTATGAAAGTGTTCTCCTGAAGGGTTTCTGTTGGTGTCTCTCTTTCGTCGTAGAGCATGTACTCTTCTCGGTATGTCACGAGACCCCAGTTCTCCATGCCGGCAACCGCAAGCTGTGGCAGGGCTATCATATCTGAAAGAAAAACCCATAGTTTCCACTGAGGAATTAGAGATATACATGTATTGGACCGTGTGGAAGATTAGCCTTGTGCTGTACAAGTTATCCAATAATTTCCACCGTTGATGCTGCTATTACAGCGGCTACTACTATACTACTACTACTGCTACTACTACTACTACTACTACTATTACTACTGCTAATACTACTACTGCTTAATAGGCTTAGTAACAGACTCAAAAAAGATACTTTGAGTTCGAATTGTCGATCATTAAATTTTGTATATATATATATATATTTTTTTAATATATGATCACCATGCACCATCACCGGGAAAGCAAACTGTTCTATAAATTACACGGGGAAACTTTTGATCGTGTAAACTAAAAATAAGAAACATTTGAGAATATATTTAAATATAATGTAATTGGAAGGAAGATTAAGTTCTTGAGAAAATAAAGGGTTTACCTAGCTGAATCCAGAGGGATGTGAAAGAAAACATTCTATTCATCGGAAAGCAGAAAAGTAGAGAACATTTCTACCGTTCAAAGAATCTGATAGTTGCCTCAAGGTAAATTAGTCCTCTTTTGACTCTAGACAGAAGTAAGAGGTGTGAGATCTAAACTGATCTACCTACAGTGACCCATACACAATGTTTGTTTGATCAGGTATATCATTTTCCTATTTGAACATATTGTGATAGTCTACAGGGGAGCTCTTTCGGTTATGTCGAATCATGCACCATATTTACATACCTAATTTGGGCAATGGATAATCGAAGCCGCTGAAATCTTCTAGAATGTTGAAAAGCCTGACTCCAATATCAAGCGCGAAATATGCCTGGTCAATCACATCTTCTCTTGCCCAAACTCGGAACTGCAACCGTAAACATATAGAAAGGGGAAAGAAAAGTGAAATTACATACACCACAATAGTCAATTGTCTTTCGTTTTAGATGATAGAAGGGATATTAGGGACTTTTAGATTTGCCGAACGAGAACGTGGATTGCTACGATCGACGTCCTTTTAATGCACTGCCTTGAATGGACGTCACAGGTATCAGTCCACGCAAATCTAAAAGTCCCTATTGGCAGAACTACGAGAAAACGAAAGAAGAGAGCAAGAGAAGGAAAGAAGAATTATCTGGTAAAAAGTCACAACCACTCCTCCTGGACGACGTAATTCCAAAGTCTGCACATGGAGAGGGCTGAAAAATGCAAATCTGTAGCATGTTCAGCAAGCAAATTGTACATTGATTTCGATTTATCTTCTTCTCTTAGTTTGTATAGTGTAATGAAACAAGATTATCCAGGAGTAAGCCTGCTTTTAAAATCCTGGTGTTATTTTAGGTCATATTTCCCAACATACAACACAAAACATATCAAAATAAACAATACCTCAACCCCATCTCTGACCAGCCTCGTCTTGCTGTGGAATTTGCAGACGACGAACGCAACAAGGTAGGTCGACATCACGGGCGTGGTTCTAAACGACGTCGTCTCCCACACCTCGCCGTCGGGCGTCCTCGCCGGAATTGTCTGCTGGTCGACGACGTCCATGTTGGAGAAGGCGCTGTAGCCGACGGGATGGATGATACTGATGGAGAAGTTAGCTTTGAAGGCGGGCTCGTCGAAGCATGGGTAAACGCGTCGAGCGTGGATAGGCGAGAGGAACGATGCAACATAGTGTCTATAAACAAAAATAAATAAATAATTTTCGTCAAACTTACTTTATCAGAAGTCTCTAAGGTTAGGGTTAGAGTTGCGATTCGGCTTTATGTGTAGGATTAGGGTTAGGTAGCCTATTTAGTGACTGGTCCAGGATTAAAGTTGGGAATTTGCTTAGTGTAATATATTCTATGGAAGAATTGCCGCTGGAGCATGTTTCACAGAACTGAGGTTAATCAAAGTATTGGATATTGGATATCGTACGATACGATTATGTGCTCTTTTCACCACTAATTGTCAGTGTTCTGAATTAGGCATTCGAGGTCACCAGCGTAATTCGAGTATGATATTTTTGTTGTGATGCGATTATTAGACCTAAGGAAATAAAAGCCTATGAACTGAATATCAATCCTACTAACTGTTCGAAAATTCGTTTCAATATAAATGGTTGTACATGATATATATAGTGTCTTTCTTGAGGCTGTTGACTCCCACTCATTCTCAAGGCCATCGAGTAAAAAAAGATTAACACGAACAGTGACATGGTTGCTATCTGTCGTTACTTTTCATAAGTGGTTAAGGATTTTCTTCATCTTCTTTCACCGTGCCCATTACTGATTGCCTCGTGGGCATCGTCAGCTTGGTCATTAGCGACACACACCCCTTATATTACGTACCCTTCGGTTCCAATACTTTTCCCTGTCGCCGGGAAGCAAGAACCTCGTAATTACACGAGCTATCAAAGTCCCTGGGAATCAAAATAGCTCCTTGGATGGTAAAGGGGTCACATGATACCGTCGGAGATCATGATGTATAAAAGAGATTCAGTCTGGTGGGGGGGGGGGGGGGGGCGGAGCTTGCTATTTTTAAATTGCTCATTCGATATGATATGATGTCAATATATCAGTAAGCTTTGGTGCGTGTGTTTGTGTGTGTGTACCCGTGTGAAAGCGCATCTGCGGGTGGGGGGGGGGGGGGGGGTCATGTCTATATTTTCATACAGGTTTTTTTTTTACTTTACATTTTTGTAATATCTTTTGAGACATGAATGAAACATAGACAGTTCCTCCTAAAATAAAGTTATATTAATAAATCTCGATTACAAAAATAAAAACAATCGTTGCACACATGAAGCTCATTTAAAAATAAACTATTTACAGGATTATGTAAACGAATGCAAAGCGCAGATAAAAGTCGAATTCGCATGACAGATTTCAATAACTCGTTATCTTGGAATTCCCCTAGGGATGAACGGGGCAATTCCTTCTAAAAAGGAATTCGCTCCGGCATTTTTTGAGATATCTGCATATCAACTATTTCAGGAGTAAATCCCTGATTTTATCTATTATTTCATTTTTGTCATTTCATGTTCTTTATTCGCTTAAAATTAAAATGCAAGTATAAATGAAAATCATGGTTACCAATTTGAGGTAAACATGATTTAAAAAAAATTCAATACATTAATATTAGGCACATTTCATGGATGATGTTTTATCTTAAATTAAACATTAAAAGTTCTCTGTAAAGAAGAAATTAAGACATCAAAAGAAAGAAACACTAATTAAAAACAATGGAAAAACATTGTACATATCAGAAGAAGACAGATTCGACGGGTCTATAACAAATTTAAGAGCTTTTAAAGATAATTGAAAATATTAAATACTACTCCAAACATATTTAAACATGTAGTACCACAAACCACAAAACCTAAATCATGACTTATCCGTATTGCCTTTAACAAAACCACCATGACAAGTATATATATCGCGGCTCCCGTAGTGATTAACGCACTCTCCTCCCGAAAGACCCCGGAGGGTCTAACTATTTGTCCGGTGTGACTGAATTGAACACTTTCACTCCTTTCTGCTCGTGCTAACGAGAGTTTGTACTATTTATTTCCCAAATGACAAACCGTGTCGACGCTTCGAGCAGGTATTGACACTGTGTCCTCATTGATTTTTACCTCACTTTGCAATTCTCCACTGAGCGGTGCAAAATAAATATGGAAAGACAGAAATGCATGACAAAACAGATGTAGACATTTCAGTCTGGTCAGTAAAATGGAGGGATACGGATGAAATATTTTATTTTTTTTAATGCACAGTTTCCTTCCACTTATAAATCATTTATATGGAACCAATAAAATGAAACAAATTAATATAAATAAATTCACATTTAAATCTACGTATATAGCGGAACAAGCGATCTGATTCGCCTACTTGAAAGTGAGAGAAGTCGAATATTATTCCTGATGAAGCCCGATTGGCCGCTCTTCGAACAGTTATTACACTCACGGAATCATTCATTTATTTAGAACCCCTCCCTCTCTCCCTCATCCTTCGATGACGCAAGTAATAACAAATCCTTCCGTTTCCTTCAATTTGCAAGAGGTAATGGTTAACAATACAGGGACTTTGCCATGATTTGAAATAAGACAAATCTTTACACTGCCTCATAACCAAGATATTACTCTAAAATATTGGATCTCAAAATCTGATGCTCGTGAATTCTTATGTAGGGCGTGCAATGACCTCTACCCCAACACCCAAACATTTCATCTTCACCGAGGCTATGCAATACCAGTATGTTGTATTATACTGTGTAGTACCATCATATGGCATCTGTGGCGACGACAAGCCCAGAAAGAGAAATGAAACAACTTCTCCTCGCCATCAGAATTGTCAAATTACAACTCAATGCGCTCCATTGCTTTGGCATAATCGCTCTGAAGAACATAATTACCAAAAGGTTAACTCGCATATACTCGTCAAATTTACCCTTCATTAGAGCAATCGGAATAGCACTGATAACTGCTCTCACAAGGACGCTCTGATTGAGTTAACATGTAATAACAGCCTATTAGCTCCATACTGCACCAACGCCACGTAGCTATAGTCTGGTATACACACTTTTATCGCTCACGCACATAACACGCGCACACATGCCTTCATTTTCTATATAGTTCTTGACGTTAACAAGGAAGTCAACGTTCTTTCTCGATGACTGTCCTTTTTTGATGGATAATTACGTCATAAGGAGGTCAGTGTCGCTTAAAATGTAGTCATATTTCTACTAGCTTAGGGTTGCTGACAGCATGTATTTCTATCTATCCAATCTGTTCTTGTACAGTCTTCATTTTTATCTGTTTAACACTACATCTTGCCACCAATGAAGAGTTTGGTTCCAGAAACATGCTACATACATATAAACGGCGCCATGCCTGTAGACTGACAGCCCATCTTATGAAAAAAATGAGAAAATGTAAAACAAGTTAAAACAAATGTATTAATAGGTGAATGTAAGTTATGATTAAAATGTTTCACCAGCTAGAAAAGAAGGACGTCTTCTCGATCGGTCTTCTTGGAAGCACATTTATAAAAAATATGACAAAATCAAACGAAACCATAAAAAAGAGGAGAAACCGGGAATTCACCCCAAAAAGGTTACGCAAAAGGAAACCAAAACAAAATCAACCGGTACCGGTACTTCTTTTCGTTCTTACTCCTAAAATTCTTCCGACAACGACCAATTGTTGCCGACACATTTTTTTATCAATTTTCTGTAACCTCCATTATGCCATTAAAAAGACAAATTATTTTATGGACGAGAAACAAAAAAAAGTTGAAAGAAGTTGACGTAAAATAGGAGATATATCAATGATAGGATTTTGGAGGAAATGTAGCAGATGATGGATGAGACTGGTGGCTGATTGGTATTTCTAGCTAAACGTGCCCTCAAGCATCGATCCAGTTTCAGGTACAATCCCATGGCGGAATGAAAAGAGGAACAGAAAAGAATAAGACGGAAGCACAACGTCCGCGCCTAGCGACTATGAAGTTCAATTCAAATTGGGTACGTTTAATCGGGTAGAAATCCTTCAAAAGTATACCCAATTCATCTACGTGTAATTACAATATTTTTAAAAGCAACTAAAAAAGCATTATAAAAGGTCGTATCAAACAGGAGACTTGACGTAATTCGAGGTTAATCGCAAATGGGTTTTCTTCTTCTTTCAATACCACCAAAAAAGAGCACAGGATATGGAAAGAAACAATTTTGTAACTATCCTTTTGACTTAACCAAGAGTAGAAGAAAAACAAGCCTAACAATGAGGGAACAAAATAATCATGTCACAAACATCAACTGAAAAATTAATCAGAACACGGTCATGTAAAAGGAAAAGTTTGTTTTATTTTCCTGGATTGCATCTGTGGAACCTTCGAGAGTCATTCCGTTTAGAAATATAGCCCGTTAGAGGATAGAAAGGCGATTCCTATATAATTATGCATTTTCTGTAAAGAAACATGATCACAATATAATAATTTCAATATGACGTTTATCTTCATTTTTCTCATGACATAGGTATTCCATACATAGCAATCCCGGTATAAATTTGAAGTTTATTATTTAACTTTTAAAAATGTTTACTTTGTAACGGTCTCTTCCGCTATAAAAAGCAAAAATTCTTTATTTTTATCAGTCTGTATACCTCAATTACACCATCACATAAACCAAATGGTTGATTATCGGTCTAGAGTTGGTCTTCTCGGTGTGACTGCATGGGGTTAAATTAACCATGTGATTCTCACAAAATCTGTCAATGTAAACTTCGTTCTCGACAAATTTTCTCAGTCAGTGTTTCCTTTCATGTACAATGTAACTAAATCGTGAACATGCCCTTGTGAAACCCTAAATATAGTTAATTTTTTCCTCACAAAAAGTACCAAACTCAATCCTCGTCTATTCCATTTCTGGAAGACTTCAGTACGATCACACGTGAACAAGATTCTAGTTACATGTATACATTACATGTTTGGTTCAAGTTTCTTGACCTAAGGACATGTCCAGCTATCTGTTCACTATGATGGCAACGGAAGTCATTCATCATTCAATTGGAAACAAAAAGGAATCGAATTTCATATAATAAATACCCTATTGCTATCCATTCATCATTCATTTTCTACATTGATCAATAGGTTAAACTGAAGTATAATTATATTTAGTTGGTAATAAACAGCAATT